TAGTTGCTGTATGTGGGACGCGGCCTCAGCATGGCCGGAGAAGCGGTGCGTCAGTGCGCGCCCGGGATCCGAACCCGGGCCGCCAGCAGCGGAGTGCGCGCACTCAACCGCTAAGCCACGGGGCCGGCCCTCTATACATTTTAATATTCTCTGTCTGTCAGTCGCTTTTCTGCATTCTCCTGGTCATTTGATGCTCAATCAAAAGTGTCCACCTTTTTTCCGTTATGTCTCTTTCCTATCTTTTCTTTCTGTTTCCCATTATCAGGTCATATTAGGGAGACAGGTGCTTTTAAATTTCTATGATTAAGATGCAAAAACAATAGTCCTTCAATGTGTCCTCACAAAGACACAGTCAGTTGGATTTGGATGGAGCATAAGAGGAGAACTCTCTGGTGGTTTCTCATCCTAGGTTGAGAGAAAAGACATGTTCTCTGAGTCTCCAGATTATCAGAAAACATGAAGAAAGAGACTTTTTCAGTTTGCCTGGCATGACAACTCCAAATACTTCTTTTTTATCAGGAAAGATCTAGTTCCAAAGTAATCTGTTACTTGACATCTTCTACCTAAGGTAGAGGAGACAAGGCTATGACTCATTATCCCCAGTAGCCAGTTGCCATTGAAAAATCAGAGAAAACATCTACAAAGAAGTAATACGACTTAGACAAATATAGTGAATCGATGTTTTGCTGCCATGGGACTTGAGGCAGTTTCATGAAGATCTTTAAAATGGGCAAAGAGCAAAATAGGAGAAAATGAATGAACAATGAACACAATGAAGAAGTTATTGTGTACAAACAGTCCCACAGAAGCCCCAAATGAAACGAACAAATAAGACAAGCAAAACTTGAGCTAGTGTCTCCATTTTCTAAACCTGGTCACAGAAAAGGAATAAAACACATGGGCACATTTTTGTTCGTGCACGTCTATATTGACCATTGTCTTCATCCAGCTCTCACATTAGCACTGCCATGTCCTTCCAAAGTGAGCTTGCAGCAGACACAGTGCTATGTGAAATAGCCATCTCAATGACAGATTTATATAAAAGGGCATTGTTCCATGCTGGCTATTGTACACAGTAAAAATGCATTAGCCATGTGGTAGGAATAAATACCAAAAACCCATCACATTGAGTTTGAATTGTTGAGAGAACATGCAGGATTACGAGAAATAGTCATACCTTCCAGGGCAAATATTCTTTCTCCCAGAGCTTCAACAATAGTGACTAGAGCTAATTCATCAGAGACGTTGAAGAAATGCTTTTCAGTGGGTTCACTTGCAATTGATTTTATTTCCTCCACGAATTTTTCAGTGCTTAAGTTTCCTCGGTTATAGCTGCCAAGAATCTAAGACACAACAAAAATGGCAAGAATATATTTTAAATTCTGTGTTCAATAAGGATCTCAAGCATTTTGTCAATAAACAAGAGCATGTATAGTACCTCAGCACAATGCAATTTTTATGTATTTCCACATTCTTGGAAGAGTAATTTTCAGAATATGTAGATTCCCTAATATTAACTGTTACATACTGTAATTGGTGTAGGAAAATATAAAAGGCAACTTGTATGTTTGTGAAAGTTTCTTCTCTTGCATTCTTGTCTCTCTCTTTATTAACAGCTGTATCTTTAAAATCTGACAGTTCGAGAGTCATGTTATAGTTTCTGAATGTCTCTGATATTATTCCAGCCGGTGACATCACCATTTGCTGGCAAAAGCAATTAGCAAGTGAGTTGCTTGATCTTGAATAAGCTGTTCTTCCTGAAAATCTTACCAAGGGGCAGTCCAACATATACATATTTTTAAACAGATATTGGACTAACTAGTAATCTAACTTGGCAATCTGGAAAATAAACAATTGGGACATTCTTTTTTGAAACCAAGTGCTCAAAACAGGGGCATTCTTTTTTATAGAGAAGTAAGAGAGGCAGGAATTATCTGTTATAGTTAACTATAATTATTTAGATGTCCTACCAGGTTTTCTCGAACATTTAGTTTATTTTTTAAAGGTTTATTGAGATATAATTTATATATAGTAAAATTCACCCTTTTTAGATATACAATTCTATGAATTTTGACAAACCTATACAGTTGTGTCACTACCATATTAAGTGTAGAATATTTCCATCCCCCCAAAAAGTTCTCTCTTACCCCTTTGTAGTCAATCTCCTCCTTCCCTAACCCCTCACAAACACTGATCTATTTTCTGTCCTTATAGCGTTGCTTTTTCCAGAATGTCCTATTTAAGGAATCATATAGTATGTAGCCTTTTGTGTCTGGCTTCTTTCACTTTGCATAATGCTTCTGAGAGTCATCCATGTTGCCTCATGTATCAGAAGCTCAGTCCTTTTTATTGCTGAGTAAGACTCCATTGTATAGATGCACCACAATTTATTGTTGAGGACATTTGGGTTGTTTTCTGCTTCAAGTGATTACGAGTAAAGCTACTACAAATATTTCCACATAGGTTTTTCTGTGGACATATTTTCTTTTCTCTTGAGTAAAATCCTAGGAGTGAGAGTGGTGGGTTCTATAGTAAGTGTATGTTTAACTTTATAAGAAACTGCTAAACTGTTTTCCAGGGTGACTGTTCCATTCTGCCATTTGACCATTCCCACCAGCAATGTATGAGATCCAGCTGCTTTGCATCCTTGTCAACACTTGGTATTATCAGTTATTTTCTTTGCTTGTCTCAGTTTTAGCAATGCTATTTGTGTGCAATGGGCTCTGATTTAATTTACATTTCCATAATCACTAATGATATTGAGACCCTTTTATGGGCATATTTGCTATAGAATTTCTTCTTTGGTGTGGTGTCTGTTCATATCTCTTGCCAATTAAAAAAAATGGATTGTTTATTTTCTGGTTATTGAGTTGTGAGATTTTGTATATATTCCAGATACACGTCCTTTATGTGTTTTGCAAATATTTTCTCCCAGTCTGTGGGTTGTCTTTTCTTTTTCTTTTTTTGCTGGGGAAGATTTGCCCTGAGGTAAGATCTGTTGCCAATCTTCCTCTTTTTTTTCTGATGTGAGCCGCCACGACAGCATGGCCACTGACAGACGAGTGGTGTGGTTCCACACCCAGGAACCGAACCTGGGCTGCCGAAGTGGAGCACGCTGAACTTTTAACCACTTGGCCATCGGGGCTGGCCCATCTTTTTCTTAGCAGTATCATTTGAAGAGTAGTTTTTAGTTTTGATGAAGTACTAAGTACTTAAGTATTAGTATTAAGTAACTAATCATTTTTTCTTTTATGGTTTGTACTTTCTCTGCCTAAAAATTTAGTTTTTAAAGTAAGCATTTCTTAAAATTTAGTTTTTAATATGAAAATGTACAAGTTAAATGAAAACAATCTTTTAAAAATAATATGTGAATTAAAAATGCAAAAAATAGTAAAAAAACCCTCAACATGTAGATAGGACCTAATTCTATTTTTTTATTGTATAAAAAATGGCATTAGGGGCCAGCCCGGTGGCGCAAGCAGTTAAGTGCGTGTGCTCCGCTGCGGCAGCCCAGGGTTTGCCGGTTCGGATCCTGGGCGCGCACCGACGCACTGCTTGGCAAGCTACGCTGTGGCGGTGTCCCATATAAAGTGGAGGAAGATGGGCACAGATGTTAGCCCAGGGCCAGTCTTCCTCAGCAAAAAGAGGAGGATTGGCAGATGTTAGCACAGGGCTGATCTCCTCACACACACACACAAAAAATGAAATTAATAAAATGGCATTATGAACATTAAGAAAAAATGGGAAGAATTTTTAAGGAAAAAATTGGATAAATTTGTACCATAATTTATTATTTTTTTATTTCTGTTTATTAGATTAGGTGCTGCCCCTTTATTTTTGCTTAAATGTGTTTTTATAAGTTTTTTTAATAATGAAAACATCACTTTTGTAATAAGATACAAAAGTTTAGTTTATACCTCATTACAAGTGTTACCTAAAGATGCAGTCTATACAGAAGTTGAAATATAATGATGTACACCTGAAATTTATATAATGTTATAAACCAATGTGACCTCACTGAAAAAAAGAAGATTTTACCTTGGTTTTTACATTTTTTTGTTAGTATTTATGGCACCTTTATTATAATAACCCAAACTAGAAACAACTCAAATGTCCATAAACAGTAGAGTATAGAACAAATTGTGGTAGTCATACAACGGATATTAATAAAAAAATAATGAATCACCAATACACAAAATATCATGGATAATCATTATGTTGAGTGAAAAGCTAAACACAAAAGAGAATATTTATATAAAATAGAATAGGCAACCTAAGTTATGGGGATATGTCTCATCAGCGGTTGCTATAGAAGGTGGGTATTAAAAGCCCAAGGGAACTTTCCAAGGGTAATGGAAATGTTTTACATCTTGATTGGGGTGGCAGTGATGTGGGAGCATACAATTGTCAAAACTGATCAGATTGTTCACTTTGTACACACACAGTTTTCACATTGAAACCTTGCGTTTCACTGTATGTGTTACCTCAATTTTAAAAAATGGAACGAACTAGAATGCCATGCAACAATATGGATGAATCTTAACACTATAATATTAAGTTTTAAAAGTTTCAAAATATTATACACAGCATGACACCCTTTTTATAAAGTTAAAAACAAGAAACCTTTTTAAAATTTATTTTTTTCAGACACGTATAGATACCAAAAGATTATTTAGAACAGGAGAGCAAGAGATGATGAGTATAGGATTTAGGCAGAAGATTACGAGGTGGAAGAAGGCAGGTGGTGAATGTGATCAGATGTAAGTTGTCAGAGGATTGAGCTAGCTCTTGTTTTGGGTGGTACCTCCATGGATGCTTATAATGTCATTAAAAAATGCAGGTACAATTCTAAACACAGAAACAAATAAAGTGGACCACGCTTCAATAAATGATGAGAATGTCTCCTGAACCACGGATCATGATTGATTCAGTTCTGTGCACCTGGAATCCAAAAAGCAAACGTAAGACCCTGAACTCTGTGCTGTTACTTGATTTTTTTAGAATATCCGACGCCTTAGGGAGAAGGAGAATCATGACCTCCAGTTACCATGAAGATACCAGAATTTTCTAGCTTCAATTTCCATTTTTAGATGATAGTCATAGATTTGTTCGGTATCATTAAAAAGAGAGAGCTCTGTGGTGCCTTTAAAGTCCTGTTGCAAAACAGACCTAAAATAATCTTCAACCACAGTTCAGCACTGTGGACTGGAATGATCATGGACAGGTGAGTGGGTGGGTGGGTGGGCACAGGCAGAGGTGTCAGTCCCGGTCCCACTGGGTCTTCTGGCCGCCTACCCCCTACTCCCTCCTCTGAGCACACTGCTCCCCACCCACCCTGCTTTGGCCTCCTGCTCTCCGCATATGCGTGTATTTTTTTAAGGGTAGATTTAAAATCTGATATTTTTATTAAGAAGGGTACAGCTTTTCACTTGTAGAAAGTAAGAAAAGAACTAAAATTACCATTTTAAGTGTTGCTATTTATGATCTACAACATGTTTATTTGTATCATAAAACACATTTAGATCAACAACTAAATCACTACAGAGTACACTCAATGTCAGTGAGAGAAAAGGAGTTGTGCATCAACTAGTCAGGCAGGCAGTGCAATGGTTCTCAAATTTTCCTTCAGAGTGAGAATGTGATGGGGGATTTATTCCTGGTTCTCTCCCCTTGCTGGAGTAACTCTCTCACCCCTTTTCTCCAGAAAACCCCAGAGGTTCCCAGAGGAAATACTGTGCACATCTGAACACCAGGATCTTCAGGAGCTCTGGGACAACAAGTGAGTCACTCAAGTGCCCTTGTCAGCTTTCTAGCTCCTTCCCCTGTAAAGGCTTAATGCCTTAATGTCTGTGAAGAACTCTGAGTTACTTTGAAAATGTTGGCTATTTAGGAAAACTAGAGCTGGCTCTAAGGTAATCAGCACACAATTTGGGTAGCTTTTTGATTTTTGAACTTCCTCTCAACTACTATGTCCAGATGTTAGGTGGGAAGGTCTATACCAAGAGCTTACAAATCGCACCAGAACACAAAAACTCCACTCCCGTCTATTTGGCTGAAAAGCAAATGCCAGACATCAGAAGTGGTTTACATTTGAACAGAGACCACTGGTGCTTTTCCCACTTTAGCTACTTGCTGAGGGAAGAGAATTAATGGAAAAGATAGTAGAGAATTGTCCAAATAGAGAGGGAAAACCCAAGGGTCATTTGCTCTTATTACATGGAACAAATCCTCTCTCTTATTGAAAAACAATTAAGATGCTCTTCTTACACTTGGGCATCTCACCACATCTGGATGTACATGCCCCAGAGTAAGCATGGAAAAGGCAGTCAAGAGTCTCCAAGCT